GTCACAATGTTTTTCAATCCGGTGAAGCAAACTGTCCAATTAGAGCCGGGGCCTCCGGCTTCCATCTTTGCCGACGTTTAATTAACATGCTCCTCTTGGCAGCTGCTGACAAGTTCCAGAAACAGGTTGTAAAGGGTTTTTGTCTTTACCCAGCATGGAAAATGAGGGGTGTTACATCGCGGGAACATGAATAGGTTGCATTTCAGCCCCTCCTTCCCTCCACCTCCTCCCGGCTCCTCTGGCAGGGGGAATGAAGGCCTAAGTGTGTACGTACGTGTGAATTGTGAGGGGGGCGGGGAGGGCGGGTTTGGAGGCAGGAGAGAACTTCTCCTTCCTCTCTCCTCATCCTAATGCCTGGAGTCTTTGCTCCACAAAGGATCTGGATTCTGCCTCTTATTCTCCAGCTGGCACACTTTTGCCTCATCTCTCTTTTGGTCATACCAAATCTTGCCATGTTGATTCCTATCCCTGGGTCTCTGCCCATGCTGTCCCTTTGCCATCCTTCTGGTAAACTCCTATTCAGCCTTCAAAACCCTGCACAGTGACCAGCTCTGGTTAGCCACCAGGGCATTGAATGCCTGCCAGAGTTAAGGGTGGGTGTCAGGTTGATCCCTCAGCTACACTGTGAGCCCCCTGAGGGCAGGAACTGTGTGTTATTCTGCCTAGGGCAGAGGCAGGCCTTAATAAGTGATGGAAGATCTGAATTGCTGAAACCTGCCTCCAGTGTAGAGGAAAAGCAGGGCTGACAGGGTAGGGAGGTGGGGATTGTCTCCACAAAGCCCTCCCTCCATACCCCCTCACCCTGCCTGAACACCCTGGAAAGGAGGCTGGGTCATGTGGCGGGCATGGTGGGCATGGTAGTTTCACGCAGTGGGTGTGTTTCTGGGGTGGCTGATGTGAACTAAGGAGCGGCCTTGCAGAAAGACCCCAGCCCAAAGGCTGGGCCCTGCTAGGAGGACTCCAGACTCCAGCACCCCAAATTCTTCCTCTTCAGCCTGGGATGATTTTCATTGCCCTGTGAGTGGCGACTTGGGGTGGGAGGTCAGGACTGGGGCAGGAGGCCCAGGGTCTCCTAGGTCTTTTTCTCCCTCAAACCGGCCCTGTTGGAGCATTCACTTCCATTCTGCAAAGAACACCAAGAACGTTTATTCATGGAGGCCACCATCTGCATGGCACAGAGAGGTCCGGGGGACTCAGCGGGTGTGGAAGGTACTGGCTGAGGGGCAGGCAGGTAGTGGAAGAGCCCAGTAGTTGGCAGCTGGCAGCTAAGTTGTCTCCTAGAAGGGCTCGGGTCCACCTCCAGCCCCCAGCCGCACTCTGCCCTGCTTTTCTCAAGATGTGGCCACCAAGGATCCTGATGGCAGGCCTCCTACAGCCAGGACCTGGCTTGGGTGCCCACTTTGTCTACAACTCCTCCTCCATTCCCAGGCAGGCCCCCTGGGATGAAGGGGGAGGGAGGGGTGGAGGCGTCCTGGACCAGGTCAGCAGCCAGGGCTTCTGCTCGCCTTGCACTTGTGTTCCCAGCTTCATCGGCACTGGCTCCTTGGGGAGCGCCAGTCTGTGGAGCCTGCAGGGAGAGAGCCAAGAGCAGCAGGCCACTGTCAGGTCCTTTTCCTTTTCTGGACAGATGGGCAACATTAGAAGCAACTGGTTACAGCCTTGCTTTTCTCTTTCCTTAAACCCCAACATCCTCTCCTGCCACATCACTCAGCCTTTCACCCCAGACACAACTCTTCCCAAGCTTTGGCCTCCAAGGAGGACAGATAACAAGAGCAATGAGAAAGGGCTTGGTGCATTCCACAGTGGCAGCAAGGAAATGTTAACTGATGAAAAGAAGGAAGGAGGAGAGGAAGGAAGGAAGGAAGGTCTTGCCTGAGCTGATCAACTGAATAGAGCCAGACTTGTCATCTCCACTTTTATAAATGAGGAAATGCAGGCTCAGGCTCTGGGGGTGAAGAGATCCTCAAAGTCCCTCTGCCAGTGAGCAGCAAAGTTAAGTGTACACCTGGTTCACCTTCCATGTATTCCTTCCAGTCCAGAGTGTCTTCCACAAATTTCTGTGTCTGTCCAGTAGACACATAGTCTGACTCTGAATGCCTCTCCCACCAACCCCAGCACGCTGCTCCACTCCAGGCAGGAGTGGCTCATATCCTCATTTCTTAATGCTTCTTTGCTGGTGGCATCTGATTCCAAGAGCTGGGCCCCCACTGACAAGCCAAGCCCATACTTACCTGCTTCTCACTTGCCCTGGGAGGTTAAGGTTCTGAGGGCTTGAGGGTGGGGTCCTCAGAATGGTGGGTCATGTTCTGTTCCTTGGGCATCTGCAGAGAGAGGAGGCAGCTCTAAGGGCCCTGCCCCAGGCGGGGCAGGTGTCCCTGGTGAAAATAGAACGACCTGGGCAAATCAGGAGCAGCAAATGGTGTGTGGTGGGCGCCACCTTGTGATCACTGTGCAGTTTGCGTGCTGCGAAGCGGGGCAGTCCTTCATACAGGTACCCCGCCCCTGCTTCACTTAGCCACTGTCCAGGGTGCTGGGGCACTGTGAGGCCGAGACAGTCCTTGTCCAACTAGAGCAATGGGCAGGTAGTCAAGTGAAGTGCACAGTGACAGTAAGAGTTGTATATACACACAAGAGGCTGATAACCCAGCCTGGGGAGATCCCGATTGTGCTGAACACACTTTCGAAAGAGGAGTGGTAGTATGCCATGTGATGGGTAGCATGGCAGTTTCCCTGAACTGCGGGCAGGTCCAAAGGTGAGGTAGGGGAAGATGTAGGGGAGACTGGAAGTGGATTGCTGGTGGAGTAGGGGCAGATCAGCCCAGCCTTAGCCTCAAGTCTCAGATTTGATCCTAAAGACTCTCTCATCTGTGGTCCTGGGGAACATGTGCCTCACTCCCATCCTCTGGAAAGCCACATCACCTTCCAGGTAAACCATCCAGAGGTCATAGGAATGGTTGATGGTGATTCACTTCTATTGATATGGAATTATATTACTTGATACAGCGCAGAGTAGGTGTGAACTTAGAATAAATTATAAAGATCAAAACAGAACCAAGAGTGAACTTCTACATATCAGAATTGATAACGTTTTTTAGTTTATTTCATTAGCATTAAATCTGTGTGATTTAAAAGTGTCTAAAATAGTTGAAGTTCTGACTTCAAAAATAGAATGAAAATAATTATGCTGCTAAAAAAGTTTATTCAGAATATAATAACATAAAAAGACTTCTTATGATAAAAGAGAAAGAGCAGGATACCAAATTGAGTATAATATCGTCTCAGCTGTGTAAGGAAAATCAATGCAGATTTAAAAAGACTGGAAGGACTTATGCCAAAAATATTAATAGTGCTTGAATTAGGGTGACGGTGTTTCTTTCTACTTTTCTCTATTTCCAGATTTTCTCTAATGAGCTTCTATTCATGTTAAAATTTTAAAAATAATTTAAAGAGAGTGAATTTAAAAGGCTTATTAGTTATGTACATGAAATTGATTTTTAGTAGACAGTACTTAAGATTGCTCTGAAAACTTTTGGTATGGTTTTTAAAAAAACACAGCCAACTCATCATCAGAGAAATGCAAATCAAAACCACAATGAGTTATCACCTCATACCTGTCAGAATGGCTATTATCAGAAAGCCTACAAATAACAAATGTTGGTGATGGAAAAGGGAAACCTTGTACACTGTTGGTGGGGAAGCGAATTGATGCAGCCACTATGGAAAACACTACGGAGGTTTCTCAAAAAAAACTAAAAATAGAACTGTCAAATGAAAGACAGTGATGGGCAGAACCCTGTCTCAGGAGCCACAGACACAGGCTAGGTCCTTGGCCTTGTCAGAGGGGCCAGTGCAGGAGGCAAGAAGGACCCTGTGCCATCCTCAATCACCTAACTCAGGTGAACACCTCCAATAATGATTCATGGGGAGGAAGGCCATCCCGAAGTCCCAGGAGGCCCAAATTGTGGCATGTTTTTAAAGAAACTGAGTTCTGTGACATTCCACTACTTCCAGCTTCTAGAACAATGTTTCTCAAGTTAGAGTTTTGTACTGACACTTCTCAAGATGCTGGGAGAAATGTTGGTACAAAATCACCCAGGAGCTTGTTCCCATGCAGAGTCCCAGGACCTACAAAATTAGAACTTCTGGGCTGGCATCCAGGGGAACCTGAGTTTTTAACCAGGTGTCTAGGTGGTTCTCATGGACACTGAAGCAGAGCACTGCTCTGTGGTTCTTAACCCAGGCTGTATATTAGATTCACCTGAGAAGCTTTAAATAAACTGGCAATGTCCAGGCCAATTAACTCCAAGTCTCTGGGGGCTGGAACCTGGGCTTGGAAAGTATGTAAAGCCCCCAGGTGATCCCAATGTGCATGTAAGGGCCAAAAACCACTGGTCATGGGCAGTGGTTCACAGAAGAATTTCTCATCAGAATCACGTGAGGAGTTGTTAACAGAGTGCTGGACCCCACCCTGTGAGTTCTGAATTCAGGAGGTCTGGGTGGGACCGGAGAATTTATATTTCTCACAAGTTCCCAGGTGTTGCTACTGGGGAGCACAGGAGACCATGCTTTGGGAATTACTGCTCTGGAATGAAGCCTTCAACCCCCAGGAGACACAGCCTCCTGGATAAAGAGCAGGATGACACAGGCTCTGTCCCCCAACCCTCAGCTTCCAGCTTCCCAGGCCCCAGCCCAGCTGATGTGGCCAGGGGAGAGGGGAATGCACCTGTGCTTGTGCAGGGGGACAAGTCAGTAGGACTCACCTCCCAGTAGACTGCATCCTCAAAACAGTTTTCATCAGCGGCTTGTCCCCAGAATGGTAATTTCAAAATGAACCCTAAGGAAGTTGAAAGTCACAAGAGATCAGGAACTACTTCCTCTCTGTCTATCCAGCCCTTTCCCTCTGCTGGAAAAATTCCCCCGGTCCCACAGCCATAAGCACAGTGACAAAGGATTCCTGGGAGCTCCGGCTGACTTCTGGTACACACTCTTGGGCCCCCCACCCACAGAGCCCCACCTTCTCTGGCCCAGCCACCCCCACTCACCTACGATGAAGCCGCCTACCAGGGCCATGGCCAGTGACACGAAGAGGCCGGCAGCCTGGAACTTGCCCTGCAAGCTTGCAGTCCAACTTGCTTTGAAACTTTCAGGGTCAAAGGCGTGGGCAAGCCTTGGGTGGAGACAGGGGGCAGATTAGGGCCCCAAGAGAGGCCAGATAACCAAGCTCAGTAACCAAGCTCAGGCATCAAAGCTCAATTGCCCCTGGGCTGCCGCCTTCCCATCTGTAAAACAGGGGCACTGGAAAGAGTAGGTGTCTCTGAGATTTTTGTGGAAGGACAGAGATTGAGGAGAGAGCTCATGAAATAGTGGTCCAGATTGGGCAAGAAAGGGAATAGAGACACAATCCTGGACCCCAGAGGAACAGTAGGAAGGAATGGAGAAGGAAGGAGGGAGCACAACCTCCCCACATCTCCTTTCTTACCCTTTCTTCCCATACATCTCAGTGTTGGCACAGGCCGCTGTCACAGCACCCACAATGCCACCTATGATGCCAGGAATGCCATGCAGGTTGTGAATGCCACATGTGTCCTGGATCCCCAGGTGGGACTCCAGGAATGGCTAGAAAGGGGAGATGGGTGCTGCTCAGGCGGGGAGCTGTGGCAGGGGTGTAGGGGGACACCAGGATTCTGGAGGCCCCAAATACATAGAGATCTAGGATTCTCTAGCCCCCTCCCCCACAGGGACGTCCCCCTTACTGTCAGGAACACAGAGACCCCAGCATTCTCCAGCCCCCAGCCCCTGGCCTGGGGCCCTCACCGTCAGGTACACAAAACCCAGGGTGGAGATGATGCCGCAGATGAAGCCAACGATGAGGGCGCCGTAAGGCATGAGCATCATCTCGGCAGCAGTGCCCACGGCCACCCCTCCTGCGAGCGTGGCGTTCTGGATGTGCACCTTGGCGGGACAGGCAGAGGGGGCAAGAAGTCAGTCCTCTCCCAGAATGCCATCTTGGAGAAGCTGATCCAAAGCCTACGTTGACTCCCTGTGCGTGGGTGCCACGTGGGAGCCAGCGATGGCCCAGAGTGCACCTCAGCCAGCCAGGGGACTGCAGAGGGCTCCAGTCTGGGCCCAGACTTGGGGCAGGCAGCCACCTCTGCACATATGCCATGGACACCAGCATCTGGACATCTTCCGTGTCCATGCCAGTGAGTTCTGTCAGCACGTCTGCACATTCTCTTTATATCTGGGTGCCACGCATCCCCGTGTGCCCAGGTTCACAAGTCTCGATGTGCATGTGTGCTGACATCAGGCACCTGGGAGGCCTATACATTCACACGCCCCCACGTCAGAGTCTGCGGGCCTACACCAGCACCTGCTGACCCTCTAAGGGCCTACCTGCACCACGTACTGTGTTGCCGGCTGGTGGGGATTATTTTGTTTCATCTCTACAACAAGACCAGGAGGTTAACACAGTCATCTTTTGATGTTTGCAGATGAAGCAGTTGAGGTGCAGGGAGGTTAATGGGCTTGTTGAAGACCACACAGGTAGCAAGGGGCAGAAAGGTGTCCTGATCCAGGTCTATGTGGAGCCAGAACCCCTGACCTTGACCCTGTTCCATGTGCCTCCCTGCATGTGCCCACATCAGTGTGTCTGATTCTTCTCCCCTGGTGTCTGAGTCCCCACCTCTCTGCACGGTGACTGTCAGTGCATCCAGGGGTTCATGGCTGTGTCCCAGGATAACAGGCACTCCTGGCAGTGTCTGAGGACACATATGCCTGTGTCAAGAAGTTAGTGTCAGAATATGAGTCAGAGAGAGGTGGTCTTCTTTTTACAGAAGGATCTACTGGCACCCATGGAGTTTGGACCCTCCCCACTAATCCTGGAAACACCTGTCCCAGTGTGTGATATGAAGGACACTGTGTACACCACATCCCCACAAACCTCCCATGTGGAATGGACAAGGCATCGAAGAGATTCCCCTTTCAGTGTGTGGGATGGGGCAGGGGGAGGCAGCTCTAAGAAGGCTGAGGACCAGTGTCTGGAGGATCAGAAGCTGGCAGAGTAGAGGTGCCGCTGGCAACCCTGCTGGGCATGTCTGATGTGGTGCTCCGCCCAGAACAGCTGTCAGCACCCAGGTTGTGGGGAGGAGAGCCAGGAGAAGAAGCCAGCTCATCCAGAGTAGCTGGCATAACGGAACCTACAAGAATCTTGTTCTGGGCTCTGCCAAAAGCCAGGTATGTAACCTGGACAAATCATTTCTCCCGCAGCCTCAGTTTCTTCTTCTGCAAGATGAGTGCGATGATCCTTACACAGCCTGCTTCACAGAGTTGTTGACAGGACGTGGTGATCAGTGCCTACCGGGTAGCCGCACCACCCCACAAGGCCCCCCACTGCTCCTTCCACTGCTCACCATGTCCAGTTTGCCCTTCTTCTGCAGGGCGCTGGATAACGCCACCGAGGTGAGCACACAGGCTGCCAAGGAGCAGTAGGTGTTGATGACAGCTCGGTGCTGGGCATCCCCATGATTGGACACAGCTGAGTTGAAGCTGGGCCAGAACATCCACAGGAAGAGGGTACCTGGCCAGACAAGATAGGGCCAGTAGGTCCAGAGGAAGAGGCAGTGGATGGGCCCAACAGAGCTCAGGCAGACATCCTGCCCTTTAGCTCCAGGGATGTCACATGACTCACACACCCCAGGTATCTCCCACTCCCATAGCTTTATTCATGCTGGCGGCTCTTCCTAGAAGGCCCTCCCTGCTTTACTCACTACCTAATTCCCACTTAGCCCTCCACGCAGCTCCAGGAAGTCTACCCTGATCCCATAATTGAGCTAAATACCTCCCACCCTGCTTCAACAGCGCCTTGAGGGAGAATCTTTTTCTCCACTGTAGGGAGATTATCTGGTGGCATTGCCATCTCTTCCACTTAACTATGAGGAGCTCCTTGAAGGCAGGGCTGGGTTTTAAGAGACCAGAGAGGGTGTCCAGAAACTAACACAACATTGTAAATCAACTATTTTTTAAAATGTTTTTTAAAAAAGATATTTAGCATTAAAAAAGAGAGAGACCAGAGAGGGTGGTTGATATGTATTTTCTGGAATGACTGGACACAGGAAATAGGGATGGACACCTTGCCCTAGCCCAGGGACAAGTGAACAGTTCCTGGTTACCACTGTGTCTGCTCTGGGGCATCCTAGGGAACACATGGGATGAGTGACCAACACCTCATGGGGGAAAGGGACAAGCATCTGGGATCCTGGGAGTATCTACTGGCAATCTCTCTCTGCTCTTCCTCCAAAGCAAACTGGCAGCCACCCACCAGACCACATGGGGACCAGGTGTGATCATGGTGGCCAGAACTCATGGGTGACCCTCACCCATGATCGTGGTCCTCACCCCTCATGACAGCCCTCAGTCACTGTGGTAACCCTCAGTCATTATGGAAGCTCTCACCAATCATGGCAAAGAGGTCCGAGTGGTAGACAGAACTTTGCCTCTCCTTGCTCTGATATAGGTTGGGTCGGTAGAGGATCCGGGTCACTGTGAGCCCAAAGTAGGCACCAAATGTGTGGATGGTCATGGAGCCCCCTGCGTCCTTCACCTGGAGTACAAGGGGGCCTGTCAGGCTCTGACCCCTCCTGTCCCTCCCTCCCCACAGCACTCCCCTGCCTCCCCAACACAGACAGAGATTCTGCTGTCTCTGGCTCCGCAAGCTGCAGGATGGAGCCCAGGGCCCCCACAGACCAATCAACTTGGAAGGGGAGAAAGTGGGGACCCCTGGACATCAACTATACTTCAATAAGAAAAGGAAAGTGGGGATTGCTGAACACAGGCAGTGAGTCTGTCAGCAAACACCAGGTCATCCTCACCCAGCAGATGGGATTATGCCCAGATGGGGGGACCCAGGCTCGGAGAGGGACTTGCTCAGCCACACAGCTGGAAGAGCTAAAGCAGAGCTAAGACCCAGGGCAGCCCAGTATCTAGTTTGTCACTCACTAGCTTCCACCTTATCTGAAGTCCTGGGAATGCTCCTCTGCCCTCTGAACTCTCCCTTCTCCACATTTCCTTCTCCACACCACTCTTGGACCAACACCGCCCCATCCGGTCTGCCAATACCCCTCTCTCCCGCATCCTATCATGCTCCTTGCCCTCCAACCTCCCAGCTAACCTCCCACTATCCACCCCCTCCCTCTCCTCTCCCCTGTCCCTCAAAGTCAGAGCAGGCCGACTTGGTGCACTCTCCATCTGTCCCTTCCTGGTCCTCCTGCCCTACCTGACTCAGCCCATTGCACCTTTGAACTTTAAGTCTCAAGTTCTTCCTTTACACAGGGGAGATTATAGTAATTTAGCAGAGCTGTCTTGAGGATGAAACTAGACAACCTGTGTAAATCCCTGGGCAAGCACCTGGCCCTCAACAAGTGCTTGATTGATTTAGCCTTCCTCTCCTCCCTCAACCTCCCCTCACTTCCGCTTCCTCTTCCTCCTGACTCAGGACATTCCCATCAGACTTACAGACTTGTTTCTTCACTTTAGATGGGGAAATCCAATCTCTGACGTAGGCACAATTATTACCCCCATGTTACAGATGAGAAAGCTGAGACTCAGGAAGGGTAAGGGGCTCCCCGAGGTCACATAGCTAGTAGAGGCACCCACCAGGCTGGGAGTCAGGAAACTCAGCTCAGCCAACAATTCATTCGCTAGCTCTGTGACCTTGGATAACACACTTAACCTCTCTCTCACCAGAGTGACTCAAACAGCCTCTTAACTGGGGTCTCTGCATCTGACTGTTCCCACCACTGGATATGGATTTTATTCGAAGTGAAATTTTAAAAAACATTGGAGGGTTTTAATCAGGAGAACAGTCTTATATGCATTATTAACAGGTCATTAAGGCTGCTGGTGGAGATTGGCCTGAGGTGGTGGGTGAGGCAGTGTTGAAAACAGGGAGATGAGTCAGGAGGAAGAAGTATGATGGCTTGGACTAGTTTGGTGGCTGAGAAAAAATGACAGAATGAATGGTTGAATGTAGGGTGGTCTAAAAAATACACCTTGGGGGTTTCCAGGCAGAATACAAGTACAGAGGAGTTGGGGGCTAAGAAATGGATGGGGTCCTTGAATAATCCTCACTCCTGCAAATATACTAAAGACATGTCTGAGCCAGAGTCAGAGGCTTAAGGTGCCCCTTACCTGGGCCAGTGAATTGGCCAACCCTAGAGGTCATCATTCCTGCCATAGCCCATATGAATGGTACCTCCGGAGTTGTGCAGTGCACAATTTGTGCCGCTGTACATGTCCACCTTGGCCACTTCCCTGGGAACCTTCCTTACAGATGTGCCCTCTCAGTATACTGGGTCTTTTTCTTGGCAGAGCAATGTGAGAATGTGTGTGAGAGTATGTGCAGGAACATCCCACTCTTTCTACCTGATGTGAAGGAAGGAGAAAGGTGGGAGAAAGGACAACATGTGACGAACCCCTTTTCTGCCTAGTATCTGGACTGATTTACCAGATGGACTATCATCCTTGTCTAATAAATGTCATTACTCCTACTTTAGAGACGAGGAAACTGAGGTTCAGAAGGTTAAGGGACTTGCCAAGTTTGAATTGAATCCAGTGGGCATGTCTCCCCAGCCCTCTCTCTATCCCCTGTTTTCCCCCCAAGAGTCCCCTCCACCTCCATCCCCATTCAGAGCCCTGCTCACCTCTAGCAGCTCGAGGAGAATGTACTCATTCACTGCAAAGAGGGTCACTTGGAAGAGAGTCATGATGAGAAGCTGGACAGGGCTGACTTTGCCCAGAACTGCCCCAAAGGCCACACAGACAGAGCCCACGCAGAAGTCCGCGTTGATGAGGCTGTGGGGAGACGGGTCAGGGAGGGGCTGAGGCAACAGCAAGAAGTGGCACTCCAAGCCCTGGGGCTGAATCTGGACTTTGGTCATCTGTGGGTTTGGGCCTGTGACCTAACCTTCCTGTGCCTCAGTTTAATCCTCTGTGGTAATGGGCACATAATACCTTAAAGCTACTCTCAGAATTAAAATAGCATATGAGGGATCCATCACAGCAGTGGCAGATACTAGATGCCACACTCTTCCTTTGCAGCCATATCACAGGCCCCACTCCTTGCAGGCAGTTTGTGCTCAGGGCATCCAAGTGGTCTGACCGATGTTGTTGAACATGGCCCATACTTGGGGCCTTGTCCTGCCCCCCCATCTTCTACCTGCCCTTCCGGAACCTCTTCTCACTCCCTCCTCTTCAGGAAGCCTTCCCCAAATCCTCCAATCAGATGTGGTCTCTGCCTCCAGACCCTTATCTCTTACTCTCCTGCTGGCCACCAGGGCCTTGCTTGGGTTTGAGGTATCATGGCCAACTCTTCACCTTACCTGGGAGAGAGGACCTGTGTCTAGAGAGAGAGAGGGGCCTTCCTGCAGCAGGGAGGAAGCTCGGGGCTGGGGGAGGGAGAGGGCGGGAAGGCCAACAGAGGGGATGGAAGCAGAGGAGCACAGAGGCCCTCCTTAAGGCTACACCCTGAAAGCCCAGCCAGCCGGCAGAAGCAGATGTCACGCTGTCAGAGTAGACCCTGGTTGCGTTCATGTGCCTGCTTCTGTGTCACCCAGGCCTCCTTGTGCCCTGCCAGCAGCAAAGCTGTCCTGGATTCCAAGGCAGACTCTCAGCATGTCTCTCTGAGTCATGAGAGTTGGTGTAGGGACAGTAGGGGCTACTACTTCCTTAAGGCAGTCACATCCAGAGAAGTCCCCCTCTCCCATGCTCAGGGTGTGTGTGTGTGGGGAGAGGGGTGGGGGGTGAAGCAGGAGGTGAGAAACAAGAAGTGAGCTGGCTGTAGGGCCAGTGGGTGGAGTCGGGGCAGGACACTACTCCCTTAGGGTCCCTTCCAAGACAGAGGGTGTTCACTGGAAAGTTGGCTTCACTATTGGTCACTGCTGCATCCCCAGGGCCTGGCTGAATGAATGATGATAGTTGCTAAGTGCCAGGCACTGAAATACCTTCTCAGCATTGCACATGCCCTCCTGTACCGCACCCGAACCAATGGGACAGGTACTAGTATTAGCCACATCATCATAAAGATGGGAAATCAAGTCTTAGAGAAGCCGAGTTATTTGCCCAGATTCCGGTAACTGCAGCCAGAAGACCATCTGACAGAAGTGACCAGTAGGCAGGAGTGAGAGAAGAGCAGAAAGGCCCGCAACTGGGGCATCAGCTCCTGGGACATGGAGATCTGGCTGTCGCATCTCAGGCAGGGCCGGCAGAGGGACACCACCCTAGAGTGACCAGTGGAATCTGGAGGACACTTCAGCAGGGACAGGACAGAAGCTATGAGAAGGGTCCACAGGTCAGGTTGGGGGATGACACACTCATCTCAGCCCTGGGCACCCACCAGAAGTCGGCTCCCTGAAAATCAATTCCCTGAAAACCAATATGCCAAAACTCAGTTTGTCAAAGACTAATTTGCTAAATAACTGGTTCATCAAAAACCTGTTACACAGAAGTTTACAATAATTCCCTTTGAACATTTTTTAAAGTTGTATGCTTTTGTTTTTCATTTAGCCATAGCTATTTTGCCATGGTGGCCAATTAAATATATTATAGGTATTTTTATACTTTGGGTCTATGGCTTTGGGAATGAGAACTTCTTGTGTATTTTGAACGGCAGGGTGATATGCAGGCCATGGATTTTATATACAAAAAGACTGGCTTATTGGTTCCAAAAAATTTTCTATCTAGTTGACTGTTTTTCCTGTTTCTCTTAATTCATGGATTTATTAAGTGGCTTGAATGAATTAATATTTTGCAAATATTGGACACATGTTTTAAATTTCAGGCACCTGGCCTATGATACCTGGTTGGTGCCCTGTATGTGACAACAGGGATTTGCACTTTAAACTTGGTTTTATACCAATTTGCCTCTAAACCCTTTCTAAGGACTTGGTTTTCAAGCAGGCTAATGAATACTTGTTTTTACATACCAATGACAACTTTCTCAAATTACAAAATGTTTTTTTCTTTAGGCAAACTTGTCATATGTCTACAGAAATTGAAGACAGTCTAAACTGGACTTAAAGAAGAACCTCCAGTAAACCAAAACTTGACTAAAATTGGGGGGAAAAAAGTCTCCCAAAGGCTGTTGATTTTGTCCCAGGCAACAGAAATTGCTATAGGTTTCCTAAGGTGCCATGGCCTAGAAAATTTGATAAATGAGTCATTCAGTGAGTTGACTATTTGGCAAGTTGGTTTTGGGGAAGTTGGCAAATTTATTTTACAAGCCGGTGGTGGTGCTGGGGGGAAGGGCATGTTGAGGCTTCTAGGAGGGAGGGACCGCGTTGCCTGATGGGAGAGGGTGGTGGTATTCATCAGACCAAAAGGTTATCACAGAGAAAAATGATGAGGGTAGAGTGAGAAGAAATGGGGATAGAGTGCCCCCTTGTAGATTGAAGCAGGGAGGGCCTTTCAGCCTTAGGTCTCCACACCCACACCTGCCTCACAGCTCTTTCCTATGCCCACTCTGTGGGTGGGATAGGGGCAAGACAGGGAGAGGGCAAGGCAGGGAGAGGCACCTCCATTTGACTGGATTCCCTGTTCAGTGTTCCCTCCACAGTGAACCTCATGGGACTGGTTCAGGCAGCCCCGCACTCCTCCCCATTGCCTGCCACCCGCCCCACCATGGGCCGCGGTCTTTCAGGGCGATTTTCATGTTCGATGTGTCAGGGTGGAGGATCCGGACCCAGCCTGCGGAGGGAAGGCTGGCCTTGTGTCCCTGCAGCCTGCGTCTTAGGAGGGGGGAGAATTTCCAACAGCACTTGGGCATCATCAGAATTCCCACTCTGGAGGTTCGCTGATCAGGAAATGAGTGAGTGGGTGAGTGTGTGTGTGTGTGTGTGTGTGTGTGTGTGTGTCTCAGGTGCTCGGGTACCAGATGATAAGGAGCCAGCCCCAAGCCTCAGGGCCCTGCCCTGGCTCCGCCCCTTACCCGGGTCCCGCCCCTTACCCGGGTCCCACACACCCGGCCCGCACCCCCACTCACTTTTCCACGCCCACGAGAATGTAGTTTCCTTCAAAAGAGTTCAACCAGCCCTGCATGAGCAGCGCCCACTGGATGCCGAAGGCCGCCAGAAGGAAGTTGAAGCCCACGGCGCTGAAGCCGTAGCGCTGCAGGAAGGTCATGAGGAAGCCGAAACCCACGAAGATCATCACGTGCACGTCCTGGAAGCCTGCGGGGAGAGCGCAGCCGGGGTTCTCGGTGGCCTAGCGAAGCACTGCCATAGCCCTCGGTCTGGGCCCTCGCGGCCCTCTACAGGGCCAGTGTCTTCCCTGCCAGTGGCCGGGCCTGGGCCGCCCCGCAAGCCGGGTCCCATCATCCACGCATCTGGGTCTGGGGGCTAGGTGTAGTACTGAATGGCTCTGCTGCGGGTAGAAGAGCCACTACCCCCATCAAGTCATAAGCGCCTCCGGAGGGGACTGGGCTGGAGGCACCAAGGTGAGCTCCCGACGACGACGACGTTAGGCCACTTAGACCACTGGGTTGTAATGCCAGGACATGCCTGATCGCCCCCCTGGGGAGATGACAGCTCCCCCTCTCCACACTAACCCAGGGTTGGGGTGGGCAGCTGCGCATTTGAAACTGGGGCCAGCGGATTACATGCAGGGTCCAGGGTCTAGAACCTAGACTTTCCAGGGCTTTGCCCCCTCAACTCCATTCTTTTACTGTGGAGAAGTTAGTCTCATCTGGCGGTGGAGTCCCCTTGACTGGTCAAGCACGTCAGCTGATCACCCTGAGGAATCTCTCTACATCCCACCCTCCCTCCCAGCAAGTACACCTTCCAGCATCACTAAGACCTGAATCGTTTTGTTTTTGTTTTGTTTTTTTGTTTTTGTTTTAAATGGAGGTACCGGTGAACCCAGGATCTTGTGCATGCTAAGCATGTGCTCTACCACTGAGCTATTACCCTCCCACTCTTGAGACCTGAATTTGAACCCCAGTTCCTCCATCTGCCGGGAAGATGATTCTGGAAAGTCACTTAACGAGCATGGGTCTCAGCACCTTCTGTAATGCTTACTCACAAATGTTTCTGAGATTAAATGCAGTTGTGTATGTAAAGCACCTAGCACCCATAATCCACGCACAAAATGGGCAAGCATCATTATTTATTGTTACTTTATTATTTATTGTTACTCAGACATAATCTAATGAGTTCTGACTCAATCCTTCTACCAACTCAGTGTGGCCTTGACATGCTACTTCCCTCTCAGAGCCTCAGTTTTCTCAATGATAAAACTAAAATGATGGCTTACAATGATCTTAACTGGCTCTCACTGGAGAGGACAGATAGCTGAATTGGAGTTAAAGAGTATATAGTGTTCTTTGTACTATCTTTATTTTAGCAATTTTTTGTAAATTTGAAATGACTTCCAAATTAAAAAAATTTTTTAAGGGAACTGCAGGGCCCCAGCCTGGCCCCACCCACCTACCTCCTCATTCTTCCTTTCCTCCGTCCTCTCCTTCCTCCTGTGCTCCAGTTGCGCTGGCCTCTCTTGTCCTCAGTCCCACCCGGGGTCTTTGCCTGTGGCGTTCCCTCTGCCTGGAATGCTGTTCCTGCAGGATGGCCAGCAACTTCTCTTCCTGCAGATCTCAGCAAAATGTCACCTCATCACAGAGGCCTTCCTAACCCCCCAGTTTAAAGTCGGTTCTCTCCCTCGTGGCACCCTCTTCTTTCTTTTCTAGTTTTTCTACAATTTGTAGGTAGGTTTGTTTGTCTAGCTCACTAGATTGTAAAGCTCCAAGAAGGCAAGGCCATGCCTGTTTTGTTCACCCTGGTATTCCCCAGCGTCTATGAGTGGGCCCAGGTAGACTCTCCATAAATATCCATGAATGAATGAATAAATGATTATTGTCATGATCTTAGCAGCACCCAGATACGGCAGCTGAGCAGCAATCAAGGGGCCCGGGTGGGGTTTCACCATCAGGTGAGACGGCAGGCCCTCTCCAGGCCATCTCCTACCCACAGAGCAGATAGACCCTAGTGCCCACTGCAGCCTGTCCAAAGGAGGGGCAGTGATGCTTGTGCTCCCGCTGCCTTAACCTTGCCTGCCCTCATCTGTCTCCCCTGAAGGCTTCCTTGAGGTCCAGGCCACAGCCCTAGGCACTGGGCTAGCAGCCACCTGGATGAGGCCCAGGACGGAGGTCCTGGCACACTGTTGGGTAAGAGCTGGGGGCATAGACATTGATGCAAGAGAGCTGGGGGTCCTGCTGCGGTATGGTGCTCTGAGCTTTGAGCTTCCCGTTCAGACTTACACAAACAGCAGCTCACCTTAGGTTTCACAATGTGTGCAGCTGATTTCATGTATTAGTGTGTTTCACGGTTTATCACATTTCCAACGGTTGTGGAGGAAATGGAGCGAAAGTATGTGGTTATGGTTACTCTTGGGAAGAAGTGACAGGTAACAGACAGGAGGAGAGGTGTGAAAGAGGGAGGAGACACGTTCAGACCACAGCAGCAGAAGCAGGGAGGGGAAATGGCAGGAGGGCAGGGCTGTTGGTAAACACGGGGAAGTAGGAAGAGGTTGCCAGGGTGGAAGCGAGGTGCTGGGTCTAGTGCTGTCCGTGGGAGTTCAAGATGACCACGGGGAGGGTGGTGGTGAGTGTTAGGCAGGGCAGTGTGGGAGGAAGGGAACCTGGCTGTGCAGGTTGGAGCTGGGGTCTGAGGTTGGGCAGGCCTGCCGGGAGATCTAGGAGCCACAACGTGGGAATGGTGAGGGAGAAACAGAAGTGGAGGACTGGCCTGCCTTGAAGCCAGCAGACCAAACAAGGAAGGTGCTGGGAGGAAGGTGGGAGGAACCCTTGGAAAAGTCAGTGGCAGGTGGGGGGGTAATCTTTCAAGGTGAGAGGTTGTCAGCTGTTTGGTGGCAGAGGAAACATGTGGGCAAAGGTGGGGCTGAAGAGGACTGGGGGTCCCCCCAGGGATGATTTGCAATTTCAGGACTGCCTTCATTCTCCCTGGGAGCAAAAGCAGGGAAACCTTGGCTTCCCAGGGCTTCTCCGAGCCTGTCCTCCTCTTGCCAGTTCTCTGTCCTTCTCAAAGACTCCCTGGCTGTCCTGATCTCTGTCTCTGACCATCCCTGGGGTGTCTCTTTCTCCTCCCTCCACATCAGGCACACAGACACCAGTTTCCCTCTCCTTGGTCACCTTCCTGATTCATTCTCTGGCTCCTTACTCTTTATCTCCCAGACTGGTCCTCACTTAGAACCCAAATGTACCACTTTATTAATTTATGCTTCATAAAGCTTGGTACTATTGAAAATGTTTTTAAAAATAACAGTCTGAAGGTCCAGATTGTACGACCTTCAGCAAGGACATAACCTCTCTGATCTGCAGTTTCTTTTTCTGTAAAATGGGGGATAGTAACAGAGTTCAGAGGTGTGCGGTGTACATTTAACAGGTCATCCAACCAAAGCCCTGGGCTTGGCCTGGCTCTTTAGCAACTGCTCAATTATATTAGCTACTACTTCTCTCTTTCTCTTTCGAGACTGACCAGGTGCTTTGCATTCGGTTGGACTGAGCCACTGCCCCACTCCCCGCTCCTTCCCCAGCCTGGAGTGACTAGCCCAGAAGCTGCTCTCAGCCTTGTAGGGTGGGGGTGGTGTTCAGCCCTAAGAGCTGCCACAAGGGGGCACCAGTACACAGCTGTTCTCCACTCCCTCACTCTTCCCTCTCAGGATGGGTCCCCAGTGAGGCTCGCCTGAAGCTGGCCAAGTCTCAAAAATCTGAGGACAAGTTTCCCATGCCAGTGGACCACAGCAGCTCTCTCCCCTCTGCTGCCTCAGCACAGGAGCAGTGCCCTGCGGTGGCCTGGGTACCAGCCCCTTTTCATGCTTTCTAGGCTGGCCCAGCCTAAACTGTTGCCTTTGAGGCCTACTAGCCAGTCCCTCAGTTCCCCAAGGCTCTGTGCCCACCTCTCCCACACCTCAAAGCTGACCACAGAACCACCCCATAACTTCAAAGTCTCCTGGGGAGATGATCGGAGGAGGGGATGGCAATGCCACAGAGACCTGGGGAGGCAGGTGGGCTGTGCAGAGGGAGGGCTTGGCTTCGTCTCTGCCTGTGCCACTGACCAGCTGAGAGTGTTGGGCAAATCTCTAACCTCCATCTCCTGCATCATAAAATGGAAACAAATAAAGTCCCTGACAGGCATGCAAAAAAGTACTTGTAAGTGGGGAGAGCACAAAGGAATTTAAATGTTATCATTCAAGGAGACATTCCTTGGCCACATCTCTAAAGCGATGCTAAGCCTCCATTTAAAACACCTTCAGTGAATGAGTACTCA